GCTGCAGGGAAGTGACTAATGAGCGCTTCGGGGAGCAATTCGGGACATCACGCATGGAAACTTATCTCATTCCAAACTGTTAACTTAACGCTACCTAATTAGAGAGGAAATGTGCTGAGCTCCCCGGCCTTCCACAAACGCCCTCCTGCGGCTGTGGCGCAGCTAGGCCAAAAAGAAGCCCCTCTACTCCCAGATGCCCAGCCCCCAGCAGGACTCCCCAACACCTCCATCTCAAACGCTCTCCATCTCGTCGGTAGGTAACATGTCTGAGCTGGGTGGAGCTTTGGAGCATCTAATCCAACTTACTCCTTTCATAGTTAGAACTGGGGGCCGGAGGTTCCGCCACTGGGCGGAGACCACCATTCTGGAGGCTGATGCAGGAAGAGCCCAAGTCCAAGGTCATTCTGGGCTGTAGGGTAAGACCTCCTCTCAAAAAGAAAAACAGAAACAAAAACAAGACAACCAGCAATGGATCCAGGACCAGAGGAAAGCAATCTTTCAATCTTTGTGCTCTCTCTTTGGGCCAATCGCCACAGTCTGATAGTGCTGTTTTTCTTGTGTGGAATTCTCAACTCTCTGGGCAAGCCACTGCATGAGATATCCTCCTGAACAACTCCCCCTCTGTGACCCTTTAATACAGTTCCTCATGTTGGGGTGGCCCTCAACCATAAAATTATTTTTGTTGTTACTTTGTAACTGTAATTTTGCTACTGTTATGAATAGTAATGTAACTGTCTGTATTTTCTGACGGTCTTAGGTGACCCCCGCCATTCAATCTCCAAAGGGGTCGCAACCCATAAGTTGAGAACCACTGACCCAGGTGAACTATTCCCTGAGTATATCTGTGACCCACCTGAATGTCAGTACCACCATCCCACAGGCTACAGTCTTGGATGGACTGGGCTCTTGGGCTGAACAAAAAGGGGAAAGAGAGCAAGCAGGCTGAGCTTTCATGTTTCTCTGCTTTGAAATCTGCAAGATGCTCACCATCATGCTGGCCCTGCCTTAACGGACTGTTTTCCCTTAAACTGTGAGCCAAATAAATCCCTTCTCCCTTAAATTGCTTCTATCCACTATTTGGTTACAGCAGTAAGAAATCTGTACCAGGAGTGGGGTCATTGCTGGGATAAGCCTGACCATGTGGCCCACAGGCTGCTGAGCTGGTTTGCAGAAGGTATGTGGAAGAGTCTGGATCTACAGGCTAGAAATGCCCTATGGTTCTGTGAAAGAAGCGTAAGGGGCCATAGTGATGGAAATCTGGAAGAGCAGGATTTGGAGAGAAAAAAGTACAACAAAGATTTGCCTCATGAGGTTTTAAAGGTGAAGAAGTCTATTTCAAACTGAGACAGAGGCCATCTATGTTATATTCTGGCTCATTCTGGCCATGTCCTGAGAACCTGAGTGAAGATAAAATGAAAGTAATGGGCTCATTTGTTTTGTGGAGAAATTTCTAGATAGTAGTATTCAGTCTACACCCTGGTTACTGCTCATGGCTGTCAGATTCACAGTGAGAGGAACAGAAAGATAGGGGAAATGTGTAGTGGGGCGAGCTTGCAGAGAAAGCAGATATAATCGTTACGGAGATTAGCTCTACTAAAGAGAATCCTCACACACTCTGCCCTGGGAAAGTAGAGAAAGTGCCCTGCCAGCAAGACTCCACCCATCAAAGGCTCCAACTGTGAAAATGTGAACATATTTGAAGATTGGACGGGAATGCAGCTGAAGAATTTTTTTTGCCCAAACAACTACCTATGAAAGTGTTTTCCCTGGGTCACTTGCAAAGCACAAGGAGGCCAATAAAGCCAGGACACAAGAGGGTCAAAGTGCATCTCCAGCAGGCAGCAAAACTTAGCAGGGTTGTCAACATAATTCTGGATAGACATACAAAAATGCAAGGCTTACAGGGCTATAGAGGCTTGCAGCAAAGTTCTAGAGCGTGAGTGAATCCAGCCAGTGTATATGGCGGGTTCAGGTTCCCTCTGAGGACCTCAGGTGCCACTGTGTGAAACTATCAAGGTAAAGCCTAATGGCAGTGGAGAGCCCAAGCCAGGATTATGGGGATGAACAGCAAGGCCGTGTGCTACAGATGGCAGAGCTGGAGGGACACAGCTGCTCAAGCCCTTTGTAGCACGATGCCATCAGTCCCAGATGCTGGACCTGGGCTCCGGGGTTGGGTATCTGTTCTGTAGGGTTTTGCTCTTGTTTTGGTATCTTCTTTCCTTGTTTTGCTTTCATTCAATTTTTTTATAGGCGCTCACAGTTAGAGAGTTTGTCTTGAGTCTTGGACGAGACTTTGAACTTGAACTTTGGAACATCGTTGGTACTGTTAAGACTTTGGGGACTTCTAGAGATTAACTCAACACATTCTGTATTGAGATGTCCACGAGAGGCAGAATGTTTGTTTAAGGTGATATGTTCAGTGTCAGGTTGACAAGGAGTGGACAGATCTTCATTGGCAATTTTTCTGGATTTAGAATCACCTAGGAAACATATCCCTGTGTGCGTCTGGGAGGGCATTTCCAGAGAGGTCTAACTAAGGAGGGAACACTTCCCCCGCCCCCCAAACTGGGAAGTACCACCCTATGAAGTAGGAAGGTAAGCACCAGCGTTGATTTTCCTGAGCTTCCTAACTTGTGAACAAGCAGCCTTGCCTGTCCCACCATTATGGACTGTTTCCCTGTAAACTGAAAACCAAATTAACTCTTTGTAGGCATTCCCCGGCAAATGGCCATTAGAGCTCACACCTGGGGCAGCTTCCACTGTCGTGACTATCAAAGTAGTCAGGCGGGTAGAAAGTACAAGACCTGGTGACCTTATGTTGGAGAGTCTGCCCAGAGACGAACAACCAATGGCAGGCTCAGAGATAGTGTGGAGGAGCCTGATTGGTCGCCCAAAGCTATATAACCTGCTCTCTCTTCCAGAATAAACAAGTCTGCAGCCACTCACCCTCAGTTCGCATTCCCCCGACTCCCAGTGTCACTCATTTTACATCTGTGTGGTGACTCTGCACCTCTCACCCCCATGGGCTGGGTCCTTGGGAGGAGGACCAACAACTCTTTCCTCCTTCAAGTTTTCTGTTCAGCATTTGGTTAGAGCAACAAGAAAAGTGACCAATAAGGCATCCACAGCTAAGAGCTTGGGCACTGGAGTACAGGCCTCAGCTCATGTATACTTGATGGAACATTTCACCTCTCCGAGCCTTGGTTTCCTCTTAAAGAATAACATGATACAGGCATACGTGCCATATTCCTCACACTTGGGAGGCTCAGGCAAGATCAAGTTCAAGACACACCTGTGCTGCACACCCCTGTCTCAGAAAACAAAAGGGAACCCAACTTAACTCCCAGGTCGGGAAGGGATGAGAGCACCAGGCAGTGTGTAGTCGGGAGACCTCTTACTGACAATGTAAAATCACACTCCTGAAGGGAAGTAGACAGCATAGTCCTTACCCTAGACCTGGACAATAAGGCTAGGAGCAGTAATAGATGAGACTGTGTCTCGGGATCTTTGAGGAACACCCAAGTCAGCCCACAGGGAGAAGCAGGAGGCTATGAAGAAAACACTCAAAGAAGAGTCTCCAGGGTGAATAGACAGTAGGGAGTGGAAGGAACTACAAGGACTCCGGGGCCCAGTAAGCACGAGCAAGAGCAGGGAGCAGCGTGATGTGGCTAAGGAAGCTGGCTCAGAAAGTCAGGGAGATGGGCTTGCAGAGGTGGCTTGACATGCCTCACAATAGGTGGGGCTTAACCTACAGCTGGCAGGGACTTGAGAAGGGCTTGAACAGAGGAGGGACATAGTGATTTAGATGGATCCTTCCAGGTTAACCTTTTTCACATGATACGCTTGTCATCAGACAATTCGCTTCTAATGGTCAGAGGATCTGCTCCAGCCAGAAAAACCTGGGGCTTCTGCAGTGTGTGTGTGTGGGGGGGGTGTTTAATAATTGTTTGTGTGGACATGTTTTATATATATACCACATGCATATGCATAGTGCTCTCAGGGGCCAGAGGAGGCCATCAGCTCCCCCAGAAACTAGAGTTAAAGATGACTGAGGACAAGCATATGGGTGCTAGGAATCCAACCTGGGTCCTCTGGAAGAACAGCCAGTGCTCTTAACCTCTGAGCCATCTCTTCAGCCTCCCACTATAGTTTAAATGTCCCCTCCCAAACCCACATTGATATTTTAGTGCCACTGTCACAGGATGAAGAGGTGGAAACTGTCAAGAATCGTTAAGGGCATAAATTTAATAAGGTCATTGGGAGGGGGTATCTAAGCTGGTTATTCAAATGACTGGATCTTTCCCTCCCTCAGCAAGAGGCCCTCTGCTGTTATAGCACTGGATGAAGTTCCTCAGCAGAGTGGAGTGCCATGTTCCTGGGTTCTTCAGCCACTAGAATTGCTAAAAATCCACCTCTGTTCTTCATGAATTACCCAGCTTCAAAATCCCTGCTGTAGGATCAAAAGGCAGACTAGGAAAACATCCTTCTGGGATGTCTTCTGAGGAGGACTGTGTCTCCCCTCCCTTCCAAGTAGGACTCATTCCTTGATGAACAGGATGCATTGAAACATACTTCAGGCCCTTTCAGGACAAAGCTGAGTGTCACTCATTTTACATCTGCAGGCACAAAATATACCGGGTTTGACAGATGGCCAAGTGCCCTTCAGTGAAATCCAACTCAATAGGCCCTGCTGGATTCCTCAGCATCAGGGCCTTTCCATGACTTGGGGTCAGGCCTGTGAAGGGCATCTGAGATTGACCTACTTTGTCATGTTCCTGTTTGCTTTTTAAACGCTCCACTAGGACTCTGAATGAATTAGGACTCTGAAGAACGCCTTCCAGCCCATCCATCACCAGGATCCACTGGGGAGGTGGGTTGAAGTGCTGACTGGCTAGTAAGAAGATGCTGTTTCTGATAACAGAGTGGGCTCTCAGACTGTGGGTTCTGCACTTGCACTTTTAACCAACCACAATCAAAAGTATTCACGAAAGGAACCGAACTGAGCACGTACACATTTATTTCCTTCTTCCCTCCACAATATCACAGCATAACTTTTCACCCAGTCACCTGGGAATCGCCTTGCATCGGGACAATCCAGAGATGACTTCGTGCGCACAGAAGGGGGCCTGTGGAACCTAAGCAGACTCCAGCCATTGCACATGGCTGAAGGACCTGTGATCAGTCTCCACAGGTGTCCTGGAATCCAGGACCAAGGAGAACCAGATTGTCTGGGTTCCCAGGCTTCAAGGGCTCCCAGCAAAGGCTGCCGTCTTTATAGTTAGGCTGAGGAAGCCCAAGTCACCGCTGTGCTGATTCAAGTACAGGAAATGAACGAGTACCAATACCAACTCTGGGGAACTAAAGCCTTAGCATGTACGGTGCCTGTATGGGTATTCCAAGCCAGCAGCAGTTAGTCAAGATGGCTCCCACCTAGCCCTGCCTGCCAGGAATTATAAGGGCTGAGATGAGTGACAGCAGACTCGGCCACACCAGTCCCACTGTCCACTCCCCTTAACTCCATTTCCTTCAGCACCCCTTAATCCAATCTTGGTCCCACATACCACAATCTAGGACCCCTCCAACCTGCAGGTGCGACCTATAAAGTGGAAGGCCAGATGACAGGTACAAAAGCAAAAGCTGGCTACAGCGTCAGAAACACCAGGCTCAAGTGGGGACCCGAGATCCCCAATCCTAGCCCAGGGGACATGCCCACTTCTTAGCCCTGACAGACTCTTTTGCTGCTGTCTGCTCACCTGCAAGAGCCCACAGGGAGACCAACAAGCCACCAGCCCTTCCTCATAATCCCTTTGATCGGATTTGTTCTTGACTCTGGTGAAGGCGGGGCTCCAAAATCACCACCTAAGCCCCACTGGGCCCTTAGAGCTGCCTTCCAGAAAGGTGAGGGAAGGGGGAAGGGCTTTCCCAGCGGTCAGCTCACCCGGTCCTCACTGGGCAGGACTCTACTGGCCAGCACCTGTCTGTCTCTCCAGCATGGTCAAGTCTTCCTCTGACTGTTCCCACTGACACAGGGAATCTGTGGGTCCAACAGGAACAGCTTGGAGTTTCCTGGGCAAGGCTGTGTTATGTTCTTTAAGCTTTTTGTTTGCTTGGAGTTCAGGTGGTGGTCATAATTTGCTAGTGAGCTTCCCACCCTCCAGAACTCCACCTCTTCTGGCTGTACACTCACTGGCACAGCCTGTGGGCTGTGGTGAGGGGGACTCCCTTTGCAAATGCAGGGCTTCTGTGGTGTTTTCCTTTTCCAGGTTTTTAGTTTTGTATGTGTGTGTGCTTGGCCTGCTGTATGTCTGTACACCAGGTGCATGTTTACAGCCCACACAGATCAGAAGAGGGCATGGAACCCTGGAACTGGGTGGGGTTTAGATGGTTGTGAACAGTGTAGGTTCTGGGAACTGCATGCAGGTCCTTTGCAAGAACAAGTGACGTGCTCTTAGCCACTGAGCCATCTCTCCTACCCCAGCTCTTTTGAGACGGGGTCTCACTATGGAGGCTAGGCTGCCCTCAACTCACAAGACTGCCTCACCACTCAGCCCAGCTGATAGTAGCAGCTGGTACAATCCCGGGGAAAAAGCACTGTACACTAATATCCCCTTGCTGTCCACCAGTGCCCCATGCCACCGCAGCTGCTCCAGTGTTCTGAAGACACATTTTGTTAAAGACAACTATGTCAGCAAGCCCAGGTGGCACCCTGGGCCAGCTGTTAGGGAAGTCCTTAGGGTTCACAAGTCCCCTTGTGGGCCTGGCAAGCAGGGAGGGCCTCAACAACCATGAACTGCAGCCCATCCTGTGGGGAGCCCAAGCTACCTCACAGCAAACAAAGAAAACAGAGGTCTTCAAGATCCATCCTTGTCCTGTCACAGTGGAGCTTCATCCCAGGGAAGCCTCATCCTAGCCAGGTAACTTTAGAGAAGCTGCAGACACACACGTGTGCTGCTTGTGCTGCTTGTGCTGCTCATTCAGATGCTGCATGTACTAGTGCCGGCACCCGGTAGAATCCCCTCTCCCCCAACAAGAACAGGTGAATGTTCAAGGAAGAGAAGAGCTGTAAAGATGACTTCTGACCACTCGACGGTCTCCAATCTCTCTTGCCCTCAAAAGTCAGGAGTGGGTGCGGGAGAGGACTGCCAGGGCTGCTGATGGGGAGAATGAGGTCGTCTGGCTTGCTGTGTGGGTGGCCACCAACTACCTTTCTTTGGCAAAAGCAAGCAAAGAAGCTACAAAGTCCAGAGGCCAGGACAGCAGCAACCTTCATTCCCTTTCTTTTAGTGAGGCCTTTCCACAGGAAAACCAGAGTGGCCTGGGGAAGACAGGCACTTAGGAGCTCCATGCCCACAACCCTGGTGCCCTCCCACGGTCACAGGAAGACACCTGGCTGCTTGCCAACCCCCTACAAACACCTAGAAATGCCCCTGGTCCTCCTGCTGACCTGTGTCCCACCCACATGGGCCAGGGAGACATGCTGACCTCACTTCCTGCTCTCTTCTTCACAAGCATTACTCATTAAGCAAGTGAGGGACACAGCGGCCTGCCCTGCCTGACGAGTTTTAAGAAATTCCCTCCCCTGGGAAGAAGTAGGGGAGTCTAGAGCAGTCTCCCAAGAGGCCACACTGCAAGGCCATCCAGAGCTTAGCCTTCCTCCCAGGCTACTGGAGTCACCACCCCAGGGAGCAAGAGTAGAGAGGCCTTGGTGGCTGGACAATAAGCTGGTCTTATTCAGTCACACGCATACACACAAACACACAGGTGTGCACAAGCAAGCATCTAGCTCCTGAGAAGGCAGCCCTCACCACAGTTCCCATCAGGTGCTTGGAGCTGGAAAGTGAGCCATCCAGGTTGAAAAGCAACAGCCAGCTGTGGAGATTTGAGGCTCGCCAATGTCACCTCCATCATACCTGAAGGTAGAGCTATCCCACCAAAAGCCTCAAGATAAACCCTGATAAGGGGAGGGACATCTGCAGTGTGATTGCAAGACCCCTAGCTGTTATACAGGGGAATCACCCTGGAGATCTCCCGCCGGCAGATCGGGCACCTCTTGGGCTCTGGCAAGGAGAGGTAACACTGGCGGCAGGAACAGACGTGCCCACATTCAAGGAAGACACAGGACTTGAAACTGCTCAGACACACCACACAGGCACTCTTCAGACTCTCCCTGTCCTCAGGTGAGGCTTGGCTCAGCAGGTGAGCCTCATGTTCACGGAACTCCTCCTGGAGCTGCTGCTGGCGCGAGCGCTCCTGCCGCTGTAGGTACTGCCTCCGCAGGATGAAGAAGAGGGTGGCACAGGTGGCAAAGCCAAACACCAGGACCAGAACCTTCCAGAGCCGGACACTGGACTCCTGCCTGTGCAGCAGGCTGTCGAAGTCCTGGCTGCTCAAATAGTATTGCATGCCTTGCTTGGGGGGCTGCAGGCAGACAGCGTTGTTGTCCAGGACCAGTTCACCAATCCCTGTTAGGGTGGCCCCAACCTTCAGCATCTCCTCTGTCTCCTGGATGCCTTTGGGCCGCTCACCGCTGATGTAGTGGCCAATGACATCTGTGAACGACTGTACAGACGGGTGGAACTTCTCATACACAGTCTCCAGGCCCAGATCCACAGAGTCCAGAGGCTTCAGCACTCGCACAGCCACTCCATCCTCATGGGGCACCAGGTCAAAGGGCACAGTGTTCGTCCTCTGGTGAATGATCTTGGAATAGTCATTCCTAAAAGAATGCAAGGACTTAAGATGAACAAGAGCAGGAGGTGCCCAACTCCCAGACATGGGGTCACCTACTTGCAGGTACAAACATGGGATGAATCCCGCCACCGTCACTGGAGGCCTCCAAATCAGTAAGTCCTAGAGCATTACATCACCAGAGACACGGCAAGGAGTGTCCACTTTAAGTCCTCAGGTTTCAGCGGGCAACAGGTAGCAACAGAGGTCACCTATAGCGCTTACTCCCTCGTGTCACTGTATATAAACACCTGAGAGAAAAAACTGCTAGGGGCAGATGGGAAAACGGCTTCCTGTGATGGCACAGAATTATTTAAACAAATCCACAGAGACTAATCTACCACTTCAGTGTGCTCAGAATCAACAGATTCCAAGTCCCTGCTGAAAACCAGGTTTGGCAATCAGGGCCTAGGAGCCTGCGCTCTAACTGGCTGCCTCCCGGGCTCTAAGGGAAATGCACACAGCCACACTTGGGACAGGCAGCTCTGCGACCAGTTCCCAAGAAGCTAAAGACGCAGCAAGCCCAGGCCCGGGCAGCAAGCGGATGGGTGAGATGGTGGAGGGTGGTGAGAGGACACGCACCAGAGGTGGGTGGTTCGATTCCACACCATCTTATGCTCCTGAAGCGTCAACCGCTGGATCACCCCCTTGCAGTTCTCCACAAACTGGCTGTTGAGCGTTTCTTTGACAGACCGCACAGCTCCTGGGGAGAGAGAGTAATCATGGTGCTCCTGAAGGACAGGACGGCTCTGCCTTCTCTTTAAGGTTTCAGCATGTACTGAGTTTCACTAATTAACAGTGGTATCTGTGTCACCATAAAGCACATCTGGAGAGCACTCTGCAAAGTACCTAGTGTAAGTACCTCACATGAGTCACACCAACTGTCTTATACCACACTGAGTCTCTCTAAAATCAAAGAACCACGATGGTTTGGTCTCCTTGCCAACACCATTAAAAGGCTCTTACGAAGACCAGCATGTGAGGTGCCGCTAAGCCTGACAGCCTGGACTCCGGGACCTACAAGAAGGTAGAAAGAGCCAAGTCCCCCAAGTAGTCCTTTGACCTCCACAGTGTGGAGCGGCCCCCTCACCCGGCTCTCCCATACAAGCAAGATTAAATAGACAGACAGGTAAATGTGAAGGGGGGGTGTTTATGCCAGCCAAGATGGCCTTTACGGACTACTGGAAGGAGGCGGGGTTGCCACCCATACTACACGACCAGTGAACACACCTTCAATGACAGCATAAGGCACACACTTCCCCGGCGCTTCTGAAAGAATGCCCTTCAAGTCTTCACCCAAGTGCATCTTCTTAGCTCCCTAAAGCAAAAACAAATAGGTAGTAAATTGGACACCGAGTGCTGAGATGTTCAATCAAACTTAAGGTGTGGGGAGAAGGGGGACGAGGAGACTGGACAGGAGGGAGAATGTAGAGGAAGGATCTAGTTTGGAAGTCTGGCCCTGACACTTGAACATAAACAGGCCAGGTGCTCTGGCTCATCTACACCAAGACTGGAGGTGTCATCATCTGCCTTCCGGTTTAACAAAAGACTTTTTCAAGACGTGGTTTCTCTGTGTAGCCTTGGCTGTCCTAGACTCACTTTATAGACCAGGCTGACCTCAAACCCACAGTGACCTGCCTGCCTCTGCCTCCCTGAGTGCTGGGATTACAGGCATGCACCACCGCACCCAGCTTCAACAAACACTCCTTTAAGATAAACACTATCTTTGGGTCCTAACACAAAAGTAAGGCTTTTCAAATTTTTACTTTATTATTTTTATTATGTGGGTGTTTTTGCCTGCATGCATGTCTGTGCACCATATACATGCCTGGTACCCACAGAGGCCAAAAGATCCCCTGGGACTAGAGTTAAAAAATGATTTGTGGGGGATGGAGAGATGGCTCAGAGGTTAAGAGCACTGGCTGCTCTTCCAGGGGACCCAGGTTCAATCCCCAGCACCCACATGGCAGCTCACAAATGTCTGTAACTCCAAGATCTGACACGCTCACACAACCATTACTCTTAGCCGCTGAGCCATCTCTCCAGCAGGAAGCAAGGCTTAAACGTTTAAACTGAGCAGTAGGGTTAAGATATAGTCCTTAACCTGGCTCAGACCCACTGGCTCAGACCCAATCCTTCCAACAAAGGTCATCTTGACAAGTTCCTTCTCTGACTATCCCCAGGCCCTTGGCGTTTCCTTTTCCCAGCAGCAAAAGCTTCCTGGAAGAAATTCCAGTTTCTTGGAGTCCACTGTTTCAATAACCAGACAGTCAAAGCTAAAGACACAATAGAAATCTTCACTCCTATCTGGTCTGTTCTCCTACCCTTGAAAAGACCTAAGTTTCAATTCCAAGTTGTCTTAGTTTCATTCCCTCTTGCTGTGATAAAATACTGGGAGAAAAAGAGCTTAGGGGAGGAAAGGTTTATTTGGGATTGTCATGGTTCAAGGGTATACTCAATCACTCTAGTGACATGTCCTGGCTGGTTTTATGTCAGCTTTACAGAAGCTAAAGTTATCTGAAAGGAGGGAACCTCAACCGGAAAATTCCTCCACAAGGTCCAGCTTAATTAGTGGTTGATGGGGGAGGGCCTAGCCCATTGTGGGTGGCTCTATTCTTGGGCTGCTGCTCCCTGGTTCTGTAAGAGAGCAGGCTGAAGTCAGCCATGGTGGCCCACACCTTTGATCCCAGCACTCTGGGAGGCAGAGGCAGGCAGATCTCTGTGAACTCAAGGCCAGACTGATCTACAAAGTGAGTCCAAGACAGCCAAGGCTACACAGAAAAACCCTGTCTCGAAAAACCAAAAGGGGGGGGGGGGGGGGGAAGCAAGTTGAACAGCCCACAATGATCAAGACGGTAAACAGGACTTCTCCATGGCCTCTGCATCAGCTCCTGCCTCCAAGTTCCTGCCCTGTTTGAGTTCCTGTCCTGTCTTCCTTCAGTGAAGAACAAGTGATTTGGAAGCATAAGCCAAATAAACTCTTTTCTCCCCAAGTTCATTTGGTCACAGTGTTTTATCACAGCAATAGTAACACTAAGACAGGAAGTCAAGGTAAAAAGAACTTAAAACAGCTGGTCACACGATACCCATAACCAGGAAACTGAGCAATGAATGTCTACGTTCTGCTCTACGTTTCTCCCTTTTTTGCAGTCAAGGACCCAACTGCAGCGAATGGTACTGTCCAATTTTAGGGCAAATCTTGCCATTGAAATTAACCTAATCAAGACAAACCCTCATGGGTGTACCAGAGGCTTGACTCCTATGTTTCAGATCCTGTCAAGCTGACAGTTAACATTACTTATGTGACTTTCCCTTTTAGTCTCAAATTCAACCTCAAAAATCTGGGTTTGCGATCAGGGAATGCCAATGTCACCTATCTCAGGAAATTATTGTGCTGAAAAAAAAAATAAGTAAAACCAAGATGGAAATGTGCTGTGTGAACTGCTAAGCGCAGTTCAAAAATGAGAATGTATTTTTAAAGTAACCATAATATAAAAAGAAATGATCGTAGAAGCAAGGAGCAGAGTAGCTAAATAAATGAGCCTCTAAAGTTCGCTATTCTCCAGGTTGGAAGCACTCTTCCATTACATACCTACATCTCCTCCATCGCCACCCCAAACATCACTTTGCTTAACGTGGCAATGCCCCTGTCAACTGGCCACACTCTAGGATCACTAGGAAAGAGCGTCTCACTAAGGAACTGTCTAGACTGGGTTGGCTTGTGTGCTTCAGACATATCTGTTAAGAAACTATCTTGCTGGGCGTGGTGTGCACGCCTGTAATCCCATCGCTCTGGGAGGCAGAAGCAGGCGGATCTCTGCGAGTTCGTGGCCAGCCTGGTCTACAAAGTGAGTCCAGGACAGCCAAGGCTACACAGAAAAACCCTGTCTCTAACTACCACCCCCCAAAAAAGAAACTGTCTTGACAGCTCTAGCTGAAGTGGGAAAACTCGCCTGTCACGTTGTGGGTGACACCATTCCCTAGGTTTAGGCTCCAAACTTTCTAACAGTACAGAAATCAAGCTGAGCACTAAGCAGGCATGCCTTTGTTTCTCTTGACTCAGATGCAATTTGACAGCAGACTCAAGTTCCTGCGTGGTCTTCCCCATGATAATGCCCGAAATGTGAAACTGAAAGACAAATTCTTTCGCCCTCCCCTACGTTGTTTTTCGTCGGAGTATTTTACTATAGCAAAAGAAACGAAACTCCGTGTCCCTTTCCTTCCACTTTTCTCTGCCTTACTCCCACCCGATTCTCGCCCCATCACACCGTCGGATCACGTGTGGTCTCGCTGTCCTAGAACGGAATACCCACGAGGACAAGGACCTGTTCCAGAAATGGCTTTACAACATTATGCGATGATGTCCAGAGACACTTAGTGTAACTCGAAGGACTTCGGGGCGGGGCAACCTCGTTGCACGTGGCCGAAATCTACTCTAGGCAGCGGGTCCTCCGGGGCCCTGTGGATCCCCCGTGGGGCTCGACGCGAGTGGCCGGAGAGACCCGGCCGGCTCCCGCACTGACCTTGAGCTCCTGGGCGACCTGGGCCTTCTGTCGGTATATGGAATACAGCACGGCGGTGACCACCGAGCTGGTGCCCAGCAGGATGACCTGGCCCAGCGACGGCCGCGACCCGCTCTCCATGGCGACGCCGAGCCGCGCCAGCCGCCTTGCTGCAACCGCGCGACCCCTACGCAGCCAGGCAGTCCTTCCCGGAAACCATAGTCCGGCGCCCGTTAATGACGCAATACCGGAAGTTGTTCTGGGGCGGGGCGAGGGCAGAGAGAACCGGAAGACAACGTTGCCTAAGTGATTGCGGTTGCTGCGGCCTCTTGGGAAACCAATCAGATCCCTGGCGGACCACCGTGAGTGGCTCCAGGACTTCGACCGTTCAGTTGGCTGCCCGTGGTCACGTGGGAGAGCTCCCTCCGGCTTTCTAGACTTTTTTTGCTATGTTATTGTTTTAGTGCACGTCAGAAGAGGGAGTCAGATCCCATTATAGATGGTTGTGAGCCAGCATGTTGTTGCTGGGAGTTGAACTCAAGACCTCTGGAAGAACAGCCAATGCGCTAAATCGCTGAACTATCTCTCCAGCCCTAGGCTATTGTTAAGATAAATTTTATTTATCCTGTGGGTGGGTGAGAGCGCGCCTGGTGCAGAACACCCTGTGAGAGTCAGTTCTCTCTATATCTTATGGGTCCTTGGGATGGAACTCAAGTCCTTAGCCGTGACGCAAGCACCTTTACACACTGAGCTGTTCCTCCAGCCCTTGCTGGGTTGTTTGATGTCACCACCATCAGACAGGGAGCTGAGTGAACTGTGTGCTAAGCACTTGTAATCCAGGAATAGCCACACAGACCACTCAGACGCTGGTCCCAGTCAGATACGGATGGTTTACTGAATGCTTGGTCCAGGCTGATGACAATCAGGGGCACAGGAAGGACTCAGGGGCCTAACTGTGACATGGACCCGTTCTTAGGGCAGCCTTTTATAGGAAAACCAAGTACAGAAGATGAGGGGAGGGCAGTAATACATTGTAATACATTTTGGCCAACTAGACAAAGTATTATCAGCTAACCTTTAAGCTGATTGGTCCCAAGTGAGGTGGTGTCAGGGTCTTCCAAAGTGCAACCAGAGGGTAGCCAAGTGTAGAGATAACAGAGCATGAATAAAGACACCACTGAGTCACAGTAAGATATGAAGTTAATTTGACCTAGGAGGGTCTCTTGGTGTCAGTTATGAATAATTACTTCTGGGAAGCAGAGTTAGACATTTTGAACTTAATTTCATCTTGTAAACAAAGATGGAGACTAAATACAAAATGGCTTCAGCTTTGTTACAAAAAGCAGGCCCTAATACACTAACGAGTGTTAAACTGTAAACTATCCGGTGAACCCTGAAACCTGGATTATACTGGGTCCTCTTAAGAAACTGCTGCCAGAGGGGATGAGGAACATGAACAGAGCTAAAGAGAGCTAGAGAGCAATTAGCCCAGCTCCAAAGCCCTCACCTCTAGCTGTATCACTAAAATAGTTCTTTTTTATTGAAACGGGGGAGATTGTTTTTTTGTTTGTTTGGTTTTTTGAGACAGGGTTTTTCTGTGTTGTCTTGGCTGTCCTGGGCTCATTTTGTAGCCTAGGCTGGCCTCAAACTCACAGAGATCCTCCTGCCTCAGCCTCCCCAAGTGCTGGGATTATAGGCATGCATCAACCACACCTGGCACTAAAATAGTTTTTAATCTTGTTTATGTAGTAATAACTGCAGCTGCTTTTACTGAGTGACTATTATGTGTCAGGTACGATGATTAAGTTTCCTAGGCTTGTATTTCACCCCCCTCCTTAGGGACCAAACCCCAAAGCCTCAAATGCTCTTCTACTGAGCTCCATCATAGCCCCTCCCGACCAGCATTTGATGTGCACAACACTGCCATAGTACAGGTTTCAGGAGAGGAAACTGAGGCTCTGGTTAAGAAATACAATCAGAATCAGACATAACACACACCTGTAATCCCAGCACTCTGGGAGGCAGGCAGATCAGTATGAGTTTGAGGCCAGCCTGATCTACAAAGTGAGTCCAGGACAGCCAAGACTACACAAAGAAACCCTGTCTCAAAAAAAAAAAAAAAAAAAAGAAAAGAAAAAGAAAAAGAAAAAGAAAACCTCAGTCTGGGTGGTGGTGGAAGACGTCTTTAATCCCAGCACTTGGGAGGTAGAGGAAAGTGGATCTCTGAGTTGAGTCCAGCCCTGTGTACAGAGTGAGTTCCAGAACACCTAGGGCTACACAGAGAAACTCTGTCTTGAAAAACAGTAATAGAAAAAAAGAAAAAAAAGGAGGGAAGAGGAAGCCAAGAATCCGTTTGGTCTGAGTTGAAGTCTCTAAATGTCAGGAGGAACTCAGGCTGCTGAGGGTGACAATGAGGGAGCTGTGTCTCTGTCCCCTCACGCCTGATATCTGAGGGTTGGAAAATAGAAAAGCAGACTGAAAATGTGTTTGAATATGATCCTATTTTTTATTTTTATTATTATTGTTGAAACAAGGTCCCACTGTGTAGACCTCACTAGCCTGGTTCTCACTATATAGACCAGGCTGGCCTCAACTCAGAGATCTTTCTATTTCTGCCTTCAGAGTGATGGGGTTAAAGACACATTCCTCCATGACCAGCAATCCTATTTACTTTTAAAATAAGGAGGGTGGGTTCCAGTTTATTTTGAGACAGGATCTCAGATAGCACGGTCCAGCCTTCAACTCACTATGTAGCCAGGGATGACCCTGAACTCTTAATCTTTTTGCTAACATTCCAAGTGCAGGGATTACAGGACTGTGCCACTCCTGGCTTAAAAGGGCATGCTTTTGGGTCTCTGGAATGATTCACAAAATGCTAGTCATATTTAGTTTAGGTTTTTTTTTTTTTTTTTCCACAGAAGGAAACTGGTTCCTGGAGAATTTTGGCTTCAGTTAAGACTCCTAAAAGTCTACGGGAACTCCTCAGGTCATTGAGGGCAACAGCTGAGATCTGTGCCTCCTGCATCAGCCCCCCCCCCCCCCCAAACACTTACCCTACAACCAACAATTCCAGAGAGCTTCCTGCACTCAAGCTCTGGGCTAGATACGGGGGAAGAGGGTGTGAAGCTATTCAGCGAGGCCCTTCTTTTCGGCTATTTAAACCTGTGGGGGAGGCAGAGGTAGATACGAGCAGACGTCTTAGGCCTGATGGCAAAGCGCCACCAGGCCACAAAGAAAGGTAACAGCTGTTTATTCTCACCAGGGAAGGAACTTGAGTTCTGTTTAGTGGGGTGGCCAAGCAAGATGGAAGCTGCAGAGACTACGCAGAGAAAACTGATGAAAGTGGAGCTATGGAGAGCTGGCATGGCAGCTAGAGGCCAGGACATGTAACACAGAACCCAGAGCATGTCATTCAGAAGGGAGGGTTGAGGCCAGAGGCTTCGGGTCCCTAAATGGTAAGCCAGAACATTCAGCATTGTTTGGGGGTAAGATCCAAAACCTTTTGAGATGAGGAAGGACATGATCTAACCTGTTTTATAATCAAAATTCCTTTACCCTTGGGTCACTTCGAGGGAAAGAACAGAGCGGTCACAAATTGAAATCTAGGGAGTGTCTCCACAGAGAAGTTGGGGTCCTCAGTTACTGATTCAGGCATCCTTGCCTTATTATACTTCAGGCCCTTGTATGGCTTTCTTGGGAGCATGTTTTTAAAAGCCCATCACTCTTTAAAAAAAAAAAAAAAAAAAAACAGGCTGGTTGAAAACAGCCCCGCCTCTTTCTTTCTTTTCTTCTGCCAAAGGCTGAATTCCTCTGAGTGGTGCTGAGCACATCACAGACAGGCTGACATTCACATCATGTGGGCCTTGTTAGGCATTAGAGTCAATTTTGGATGCCGCTAGATGCCCCAGGGAACCATTTCCAGCTGGGGATGGCTGTCCTCAGAGTCACAGTGAAGGATGAGCCTCTGACTTGGAAAACATGATCTGGGGCCCTAAAGCCGGAGTGAGTGGAGGAGGTGACCTGGGACCGTTCCACAAAAGTGCCTACCACCTCAGACCCAAGTTAACATTTCTCTTCAGAGAAGCAAAAACAGCATTACTGGATAAATGCCCTGGAAGCATTCACTAGGGTCTAGGGGCCAAATAGATTTGAAAGCTGATATGTTAGTACCTGCAGGGACATTGCCAGGTGAGTACCACAGGAAGCAGGAAATAGAAAAGATGACAACCTCTGAAACCCCCCTCCCTTGGGAAGACAGCTGATATAATTATCAAGAATTATCTGATAGCCAGGTGGTGGTGATGAACACCTTTGATCCCAGCACTGGACGGACAGAGATATGTGGATCTCTGTGAGTTCGAGGCCAGCCTGGTCTACAAAGCAAGTCCAGAACAGCCAAGGCTACACAGAAGAAGCCCTATCTCGAAAAAACTAAACTAAACTAAAAATTATTAATTTAGTAGTAGCATATGAGCAGGGCCTTGCCCATGCCATGGTGTATTTGTGGGGGTCAGAGGACAACTTTTTGGGAGTCAGTTCTCACCTTCCTATGGATTCTGGGGGTTGAACTCAGGCCATAAGGCTTGGGTAGCATGAGCTTCACCCACTGGACCACCTCACACCACTACCCCCAAGAACACATTTTTAATGAGCATGTATCCCTCACGGTACAGAGATGGGGTGCAGGACATGATCCCTGGCCTCGCAAAGGGTACAAGAGAGACATTTTTCTTTTATTAGCTAATTGGAAAAAAAATCAGAATTCAAAAAATAGGCTGTGCTATGAAACAGGTTTCTTTTTATTTTTTATGGGTATATGTGTGTTTTGCCTGCTCGTCTGTGCATACACCATGTGTGCGCAGTGCCCATAGAGGCCAGAAGAGGGCGCTGGGTACCCTGCAACTGGAGTTACACATGGTTGTGAACCACCTACTGTAAGCAGGAAGTGCTCATGCAGGCGCCTACTCCTTGCCTCAAGGGACCCTTCTGCCTAGTGAGTAGATGGGACTAAATGTCCTTGCCATGGTGCCTGGCTGTTTTGCTGCTGCTGCTGCTGCTGCTGCTGCTGCTATTAGTTTTATTTGTGGCTTTGGGAATGTAACCCAGGGCCTTGCACATGCTAAGCAAGCTCCCACCACTGAGCTGCTACCCCAAACCCCCTAGTTTCTGGTTACCAGGAAGAGTTGTTTACATATTCTTGATACAAGCCCTTGATGAAGGCAC